TCAGTCACATGGGGTCAAAGTAGTTTGTCTCTTTAAAATTCAGATATTAAATTTTGATTTAGACATAATTTGAAGGAGATTGATATTGCTTTTACTGAGATGATGGTCCAAGAATGAGAAGAAACAACATTTGGAGACAGTATGTTATAGTTAGGCTTTGTATACACAATGTAAATAAACAGAACTTGGTAAAACTCAAAGCCACAAAACTGATTAAGCACAAGCCTCAGGAACCAGCTGTGACCAGAAAACCACCAAGAAGCACAGCTGCAAACATGTGAAGTACTCGGTTCTGATGAGGAAAAGTACAGCTCTCCTGGATACCCCTTTCTAAGGGCTGAACTGAAGGCAGAAAAAGAGTAGATTCTGAGCAACCCACATTAAAATGTTTAGTGATACAGAGTTTTACACCTAAACTGGAGGACTCCTGTATATTTCTAAGTTTCCAGGTCTGGATTCTAACCTATTCCAGGACAAGACCTATGCATGCAATCTTTCCCTCACCTTCCCCAAGAAATTCAGGAGCACGAGCTGGAAGCAACTTAGGGCATGCTCCATGCAGGTGATCTGGAGCCCCTGGTCACATTGTCAGGTGCCCAGGTCCTGAAGGAGATACAAATCTGTAGCATGCCTACTCAGCTGCAGCAAGAAGTGCAGCTCTGGAAATTTAGGGAGGAGGTGGCTCAAACTGAGCAGCAGTACACAAGCAGAAGCCAAGCCAGAAACTGAACAAAAGGGACCCTTCCTCAGGGCAAGTATTCACACAATTTTCTAGTCTCCTGCCTCTACAGCAGCAAGGATCTACTGTTGTGTATTTTCTTATTCTGAAAACTAAATTAAATGTCTATAACATCTTTATTTAACATTGAGTCAGGCAGTCTTTAAAAAGAGAATTAGCAAGATAATCTTTTAATATTAAGAGAAAGTCAATTCTTTCCTGATTTCTTATTTTCTGATGACCTTCCCAAGGCACCCAAGCACATGACAGCTCATGATCAAACTCCTAGAATTCAGTCCAGTTCCAACACCAAAGAACTAGCCCTGGAATACATGCACGCACACACACACACCACCTTCAGCTAAGACTTAATAGCCTTTTAATCTTACTTGACAGTGATGGCACACCTGGGTTCTACAGCAATTTTCTCTCCCTATAGGAAATTTATTCTGAATGTGTTCCTCCAAAATCCACTTTCTCACCTCTTTTCTCTATGAGCCTTTCTTACACCTTTGCAGCAAGGAACTCATGCCATTAAAACCTGCTAGCTCTCTCCTTCCCATTTTTTTAACCCTCCACTTTACATTGAGATCACTCACAAACTGCTATTAATACTCCAGACAAAACATATTATGCATTTTACAAGGGGTTTACTACTACAACAAGGTGGTTCTTCTCATTTAGCTTTTCAAGATATCAGATTCTCCATACAATACATTATTTTCTCTTACATTCCCATAGGTCCTTGTACCATTAAGCAAACAAAACCAGAACAAGCAGAAGAGCATATTCTGTAGAAGTAGTTTTAACTAACAGAAATTCAGTAGTAAGTAACGAAGTAGGAGACAACAGCTTTCAACAGGATAAACACATATTTGGGTGGTGGGAACTCCTGATTTTCAGCACAGACCTTCCTGACAGTTGTTATAACTTGTCCAAGTCCACATTTAACTTATGGTTTAATTTCCGTAAATGAAATAATAAAAACCCCACACTCTAAGCTTTACTTGCCTTACAGACATGTTACAGAGCTAATTAATGTTTCTATAGAGCTCTGTTATGCAACAAGTACTAACAAAGCATGGTGTCTCCAGCCTTGGTGGTATCTCATTACTGCACTTGCACAGATTATAACCTATGATAAGTACGACTAAAAGACAATCCTTGTCCTAAACGCTTTCACGTGCTTCTGACTTTCCAAGATGTTTACTGTTGTGGTTTAATTTTTCCCATCTTTGTCTTTACCAAAAGGTGGATGTTCTGAAAGCTTCAGAAAGGTTGGTTTTGATTGTTGGGCATCATATGCCCAGCATAAAGCAAATCTGAATACTTCTAATGCTGAGTGTTATCATTTCATCTTTTTAATTAGAATGATGCAGCTCTTAATAATTTAAGTCACTCTGAGTTTGAAAAAAGTTCTCAAAACTTTACAATGTAAAACTGAAATCTTAGGGACAGAGGTGGGAAAACCCTACATGCATAAATTGGATATGGTAGGCACTCTCATACAGTTCACAGGAAGACAGAAGCTCACCTTCTGAGGACTGTCAGGCTTCCAAAAGAACCAACAAATGTAAACACAACAGGCAGTTCAGCTTCGGACTAAAGTTTAAATAAAAGGAATTGCAAAGTTCCCTTGCCTCCTCCATACAGATGCTGCCCTCTGACCTGCACAGAAACTTTACAAACCCCCACTGTTGCTGCTGCTGAGGGAGAAGCGATGTGGCTGTCACTGCTGCCAGCCAGCCTGCCACCTGCCCGGACAGAAGCCACCCAAGGGACAGCAGCCACAGCCTCACACGTGAGAAAGCGGGGCTGGCAAACACCACCCAGCCTGGCAAAGGGAAGGAAGGCAGCCTGGCTGCAAGACCAGACCTCCACCCTTCACCCCCTCTTTCTGAGGGTTCCAGGCAGGCTTATTCACACAGGTGCAGCAGAGCAGAAACACATGCTGCTCCTTCCAGCCTGGGATTACACCTGAGCTAATAAACCTCGCTGATCAGAGCTGGCTCTCAGCACTCTGGTTCTGGAAGCGGGATGCAGACAAATGGAAGTTGGCTCTGGAAAGAGCCAGTATGGGTCTGGGGTTTATTAACTCAGGCTTTGCACCATGCAAAAGAATAAAATCTGGCCCTAGAGACTAAATAGCTTATTAAAGTGATACTGAGCCTGAACTAATAAACCCTGACAGAATCAAATCGACTTTGCATCAAGTCAGCTCAGGTGTGCCAGCATCTGTGGCACAGTTAATCCACTGCTGCAATAAGGCACTCAAAACCAACAGAGCCTGCTATCTGAATTTGAAAAACTCACAATTTTACAAATTTGTGAGGAAACAAAGTGGTTAACTGTTGTTCAGTTATAGATTTTCTTTTCTTCTGAAAGGAACATCAGGAGCTTCCAGAAAAGGTGATATCTGGCTTTTATGACTGTGAGCTGAATCAAGTCAATGCTATCTCATGGTTTGCCTAAGTTACAAAACAGACAACTTCAGTACATTCAGTGCTTCCCTTGGCCTGCCAAGAGAGGGGTGAAACTGAGAAGATCCAAGCCAAGCGTATTCTACAAGTGCTAGGAGAAATTAGAGTAGCATCACAGCAGGGAATAAAAATATTTAATGCCAAGGAGAGCCTAATATGAGAGGCACAAAATTAGAAAATCCCCCCACCCTTCTATTAACTTTGTCTCTGCTACTCCATTCCTCCAGTAACGGTATAAACTAGTCAAGTAATTAATGGATTTAAATTAAATTCTACACAGCTATCACATAAAAATCCAATTGTCTGACTTGGTCCTTAGTGAAGACTCTAAAAATTTTACGGAATCAAAAAGAAAAGCTAAGTGATAATCAGAGAAGTGAAAAAGACAAAGGACAAAAAGGACAAAAAGCAAAGAAAATGACCACATTTACAAACAAAAAAGTTGCCTGGAAATGAAAGTTACTAGAAGACAGAGAAAAAGACATGAAGAAAAAAACCAAAACATTGTTTGGGTTTTGTTCAAAATAGTGAAAATAAAATTGGTTGACAATAGCACAGTTCAAATACACTTTTCACTTAATGTCCAGAAATTACTACAAGTTTTGTTTTTATTAGTCTTTAAGCTAAGGTAGGCTTTTATTAAGCTCTCCAGTCAGCCCCAAAATACCACTGTAAGCTGAAGGAAAACATTCTAGCACTTGTAAGGTGTTAAACAAACGTGACTAACCCACCACAGCAGCATGTATTTGAAAATGCTAATTTAGAAGAATATCTTAAATACATGTCTAAATTAGTAGGGAAATGGTGAAGTTTTGTCCTTAACTACTGTCATAAAGTCTTTGCTTCTTAGCAAGAGGTCCATGCAGGTCAAAGGTACTTGACCTTAGTCAGGATTACAAAAGTGATTGCTCCCTATTGTGAAAAATCCCACAGAGGGACAAAAGCCACTGGAAAAATAAAAAAAATTTTGAAAGCATTGTTTACTCCAACTCTCTCAGGAACAGCAATCTGTCCTGCTGAACTGCAGCAATGTTCTCAGATCTGCCCAATCTCACAAGAGTTTCCTGAAGACGTACACCCTTCCAGTCTTTCCTGACCTTGTGACATCACTCCAGTTTAGCCACTTGCAATCATTCTGAGTCTTGCCTAAAGCAGCAGAAATTCCTCTGCTTTCCCATTAGAAAGAACAACTGGAGCATAGCAGGATTGGCTCAGTGTCATTTTATGCACCTATTTTGTGTTTCTAGTTATCCTAGTAAAGGTACATCACTCTACCATTACCAAACCCACTTCTTTCACGTTGTTCAGTGCTTCAAAAATTCCATGTGCTGAGCACAGGATCATTCATGTGTTGTATTCGTAAAGGGACAGGGTGGGTAGATGGCTATTCCTTGCTTCCCACCTGTGCTCCTCTTGTATATCCATTACCCTGTTAAGCCCCCCATCCTAAAGACTCCTAAAACACAAGAACTGATGGGGAGGGGATGCTCACACATCCAAAGCCTCCACAAAGCTCTCTCCAAAAATGTCATTATCTGTGCTACAAACAAATGCAAGAGACACCCGCTATTCACCTTTCAGCAAAGGTGAAGGTTAGGAAGGAGGGATTTAAGGACGGGAAGAGTGTTAGACCTGTCCTGTTAGATCCATTTAAGGATGGAAAGCGTGTTCTGTAGCTGTTCTGTAGCTCAGCCAGCACCTCTCTGCCCACCGACGATCCCAGCACCCACCACCTCGCCAGGTGCCAGCCTGGTCCCCTCGGGTGCCACCACACGTCCCTCCCCGCCCGCAGGGCTACTCACGTTTGATGCACCGCTGGGAGCCCGTGGCTTTGCTCCAGCCGTGGCAGCACTGCCCCCCGCACACATTGACCCTGCGGGAACAGCAAACAAGGACCAGTGTCCGGCGGGGCACCCCCGCTCCCCATCCCGGGCCGTGCCGCGGGGCGGGCGCTGGGCCGGGAAGACAAAAGGCGCGAAGAACGAAACCTCCCGACGGGACTCGACGCCTCCTGCGGGGCGCGGGGCGGCGCGGACTCCCGTGACGGGGGGAGCTCGGCCTCACGTACCGGAGGGCCCCGGGGCCGGGCAGGTAACGCCGCGGAGCCCCCGGAGCCCGGTTCAGCCCCCCGCCCTCTCCCCCCTCCCGCGGCAGGGATGCCGGTGCGGCCGGGAGCTGCGGTGCCGGAGCGGGGGCGGTGCGGGACGGGAGGGCGCCTTACCCCGGCAGCGGCGGCAGCTGGTGCTTCTGGCGGAGGGGCAGGGCGGCGCTGCTGTTGCCGTGGGGGCCCGGCGGCGCCTTGAGCCGCGGGCTGAAGCGGGCCGGCTTGGCGAAGGAGGAGGCGTGAGCGGCGGAGTTGGGGTGGAGCGGGCCGGCGGGGCCCAAGCGGAGCTGCACGGCGGCGCTGCCCGGCTTGCTCATCCGCCGGCTCCGCTCCGGGGGGCCGCCGCCGTAGCGCGTGTTCAGCTGCACATTGAACGTGCGCTGCTGCTGCTGCTCCCCCCCGAGGAGGGTCGGGCGCTGCTGCCGGCTACCAGAGGAGCTCCCCCGGCCGGGCTGCAGGACGTACGTGATCCTCCTTAGCCTGCCCTTTTCGGAAGCTGCGAGCCCTGGTGACAAAAGCGCACAGGCAGCGAGGAGGAGGAGGAGGAAGCCCCGTCGGATGCGACCCATTTCCACAGCGGGAGCCCCTACAGCCGGCGAGCTTCGCGGAGCCGCGGTGCAAGGGTTCCTTGGTTCCGCCGCGGGACGCGTGTGCGTGCGACCTGCGCCCGGGGCGCGGATCCCTCCTCCGCTCGCTGCCCCCCAACCTGCTCCGGGCGGGGCAGAGCAGGAAAAAAGCCTCAGGATCCTCCCGCCCGCCCCCCAAACTGTTAGCAAAGTTCAGCAAACGCTTCGCCCCGCAGAGCAGGAAAACATCGTTGGAAGAAAGGAAGCGGCGGGTGCGAGCCGAGCTGCGAGCCGGAGCGGGAAGGGAGGAGGAGCAGCAGGGGAAGGGTGTTTGCTGCAGGGGGGTGGTCGCAATGGAGAGCAGATGTCTCGGTTGCCGGAGCTGCCAGGGGTCTGCCCGCGTGTGTAAGGCACGGCCGCGGAGCCGGCGGTCCCGCAGCCCCTCTTTAAGAGTTTCTCCGCGAGTGAGCGTGTGCGGGGGGCGGGCGGCGGTGCCCCTGCCCGGTGCCGGCCCGCGCAGCCAATCTGGGCCCCTGACGTCAGGGGCGGCCCGGCCGGACCAGGTGACCGCGGGCCCGGGCCGGGGGCGGCGGGCCCGGAGCCTCGGGAGTACCTGTCGGAGCCTGCCGCTGCGCCTTGCCCTCTGCCCGAGCTGCTGGGGCAGCGTGCTCCGGCAACAGCGGGACCTTTCTGCTGTACTTCAGTGCAGGTGAGGCTTTAAAGCCACAAAAGCGAAATATACCTGCTTCGGGGCTCGGGGGAAGCGCTTTACACGCCTTTAGGGTAAGCGCATCGCTCCGTCTCAGTCCGATGAGAGCCGGAGGTTGCTCTTTGCAGGATTAGGAGGGACTGCATTGTTCCTTGTTTTTCTTTATGTTCGCAAAGCAGTTATGTATTAGTAAAGAATGAGATACAAACCACAATTGTATACTTGTAATTAATGTATAAGCAAAACTGCCCACGTTTTTCTCCAATGTGTCTTAACTAACCTCACCCTTTAGCACTGTAAACAAAAAAACAAAGTTCACAAAATAACCCGAAGGTACATCTTTTAAAATACTCAGAAGCTGATGTGTCCGAGTTCTTTCCAAGAAACTTTGTGGAGGATCAGTTTGCAAATCCAATAGATTGGAATTCAGGTCCTCCTCCCAGGGTTCTCCTCTGCTCTTTTCCAAAGCTTTAAGGACACTGACCCCGGCTCCAAACTGACGAGATTTTGCTCTTAAATGCTCTTGGCACAGCTACAGAGCCAGCAAGGGGAGCAGGAGGGTTTTAGGTTGACTCAATTCTAGGCAAAAGCCAGTGTTCAGAGCACAACACTCCCTTCCTCTAGTTCTCATCTATTTAAAACTGCTCAAAAATAAATAGATGTTTTAAATAGATGAGAGTTTGGAGCTTGCTATAGTCACAGTGTAAGGGATCCACATCAATGTTAAAGGCTTCTGCTCCTGTACCTCCAATGGTCTGGATTGAAACCCAGTGTTTGAAAAGAAAAATGCCACAAGTACTTGGGTATTAGAAATCCACAGTGGATTAAAAGAGAATGAAACTGTGGTGCTTCAAAGAAAAACTGAGATAAAGCCTAAAAGTTTCCAAGGCCCAGGTTGAAGTTAGCTGGGAAGGTAACTGAGACCTCTGCCTCTTCTCATAGCAAACATATACATCTATTGTCTTTTTAACTGGGAAGACATTCCCAGCAAGTGAACTGTTCAGCCTTCCTAAAGCTAATTACTGTAAATCCCAACTATGCTAACTGTTTTTACAGTATTTAGGGAACAGAAAAACACCTTGAAAGCAGTGTGGGGAGGTGAGGACTGAGTCGGTTGTGAGAAACTGACGTGGTACTCAGGGTTGTTGCTCTGCACAAGGCCGTTGTCCTTCAGAAGTTTTCCAGAATGAGATCACAACTCTGTGTGTGGCTGGGTTTGTTGAACAGAGGGCAAAAACTGCATCATTCCACAGCAGAAGCCAGTTGCTTTTAAGAAATGTGAGGTTTAAGTCATGTCACACAGGGGGCAAATGTGGTGTATTACTGGCTACTGTACAGCAAATGGTAAGGAACCTCAAGGGAAATATAGCCACAAAGGTGGATGCCTTGCATAGAATCACTGAGGTATAAATCTATTCTTGAAAAAAGCATTTAGTATTATCTGAAATTAATTGCTAGAGATCAAGCAGTCCTCACAAATTTACATGGCAGGTCTGATTTTCAGTGTACTCTCTTTTTTTTTTTTTTCCCCTCTAGCAAGGAAATCCACACTTTTCCATTTGTCTGCTATCTGGTGTTGCTTCTTCCCTCCCTCCCCCTCCTTCTTCTCCACAAGGTCCTGGATGTTAGGGGCTAGGTTTGGCTGCAGTAACACATCAAGTTGGCCATGTAATTTTTAACAGCTAAAAGAGGACTTCAGTGAAGACTGAAGACTGCAGACTAAACCTCAGCTCAAAATTTCTTCACATGTAGAAGTTTCTGCTTCCAAAGGACAAGAAGTTAATCCAGCACAGATTGGCATCAGCCTGGTCTTTTAAAATCAAGCCAGGTGACTACTAAGGTCCTGATGATTCTTCAGTAAATGGTGTCACTGCTTGTGGGAAACCTGCTCTGGCTGCCTCCCCAACCCCTGTGGAAAAGACACAGACTTGAGTAAGCAGTGACAAACAGAATTAGTATCTCACACCACCTTTCAGGCACAGCCCTCTTTTTGAAGAAGAGTTGGGAAAGCAGTTTGCACTGTTTCTGTTCTTGTCCCCTGTGGTTTGTGACTAAAGGGTGGACATAAGGAACATAAAGTTCCTTAGTCTGTACACCACCCACCAGAGGGGCAGACCTCTGGATGCTCTGCTGTAAGGGTGAGGCTGAGAAGGGCAGAGCTGGCTGGAAGATTGGGAGCAGGACAATGCAGGAGGCAGAACTGCTGCCCTGATGTGATGGCAGGACTGCTTCAAAGTTTAAAGGCTTAATAGACAGGGCAGAAGCCAGTTTGAGAGCATGAGTATGTATAAGAAGAACTGAAATAGCATTGTTCAAACCAAAATAAAAGGAAGAACTAAACTGCCATATATGTTTTTGCTCAAGTCTCGTGACTTTGGGGTCAGTCCCATGAGTTGCATGAGGAAGGACAATAGTTTTGAGCTGGCAGAGCTGGCAGCACCCAGACCTCCACTGTTCTTTTCATCAAACAACTGTTGCCCTGCCTCATGGAGGATGTGTGTGGTGCATTGGTTCTCAGGCACAGGGATCTTTGCAGGATGCTTCAGTGAGGATGTGCAGTTATGCTGAGGGTAAAGCCATCTGAGCACAGGTGATTGCTGGGCCAGCAATAAACATCACAGTGCCACTGCACATCCCTGTGACTCCATGTCCACACTGGCCAGGCAGTAAATGGAATGATCAGCAATGCCTGATGTGTCAGCTATAGGATCAGTAAATCCCTGCTGATCTTGTAGATCCACCAGGCAGCAAGTCTTGGCTTGTAAGGAAAGCTGGGTTGGAAGCTCACATTTAACATCAGGGTTTGACAAGGCTAAATGCTGTATTTAGCCTCAATTTTGGCTATTTAAGAAAACTTTTACAGTACTGCAGCTCCATTAGCTTCAGTAATATTACTTCAAACTTCTTTTGAGCTAAAGGAGGAAAAGCAGTCTATAATTTCTTGTAAGCTGAGAATCAGCTGGAGACCTGTATTTGCTCTTTTCTTTTTCTGTACTATACAATTATCTGAAAAAAGTCCTGTATTTTTCAGTCTAAATTACACTTTAGCCATAGCTCTGTACAGGTAACATGACTCTCATGTGGAGAGTATTTCTTTTGAACACAAGAAAACAGCTTGGTCTAACTGTCATCAGAGCAGGAAAAAGAAGTAATTGGTGTTTATTATGTCACTAAAGTAAGTCACACGTGACTCTGAATGCATATGTGATTTGCAGAGTAAGACCATGTAGATATAAGTATCATTTCTGCATGCTATTTTTCAAACAGAACTGTGCCTTCCAGCTCTGATTGTTGTTTGGTCCTTCAGGCAGAAACTGCAATTACTCTACAGTTTGTACTAATATCCTGAGGCCTCAACTGTTCCTGAGTGTTACCACAGTATAAATATCATTAATGATGTTTCACAAAAGGACAAGTCCTGCTCACTCTATTCATGTAGGCACTTTAACTCACTTCCAAGGAACTCAGATAGTCAGACTAGGCCTGGATGGATGTGTGAGGCATTGGAAGGAAGCAGCTGAGCTTTGCTGTATTCATTCACTACTGGTGACCTTCCTTGTGATTTAGAGGTCACTAATGACCATACTTGGCACTTCCCAGTAATTCCAGACTCACACTACGGTACCTTGGATAACCAACCAATCCCTTCTTGGATTTCCTGAATCCGGGATGCTTCCCAGTAATTCCAGACTCACACTACGGTACCTTGGATAACCAACCTTCTGCCTCCCCCTTCTTGGATTTCCTGAATCCGGGATTCATGAATGTGCCTTCCCAAAGACCTTCTCTGGAGGAACTCATCATCTCCCAAGCAGGGACTGCTGCAGTAGGCACTGTGCACACAGCCCAGGTGACAAATCCTGCCGGCTCTTCTGACCACAGGCACATGGCCCTGAAACAGGCCAGCTCTACAGGGGCCAAGGGACTTTTATGATGAGCTTGGTCCATGATGTGAATTCACACCTTGGAGCAGTACAGATCCTGTGTGGCACTCAGTTTCTGAGGCAGAGACATTAGCATGCAGATATTCTAGAGCCACAATCTGTATGGGACAAGAAAACAAAGTCATGATAGTGGGGCTAGGGGGTCACCATTCCCACTCTGCTACTACCAAAAGAGACTGCAATAGAGACTTATTTTTCCTTGCAATAAGTCACACTGAAAGTTGGATCCTTTTTGCAAAAGTCTGATGCCAGTCTGTCACCACTGACCACCACCACATCCAACAAAATACGCACTTAAGGCAAGTAGGAGTAGGCTTCTTTATAAGTTACTGACAATAGCTGTAGTAAAAGAAGTTGTGTGGATTTGTAGTCTTAAATTTCATTTTACCAAACTAGCAGAAATCCCTTCTAGAATATTTGGCAGTTTCGCAGCCATCCTCACATATGGAAAATAACTGATTCAGAAATACAAGATTTTTTCCAAGATATGAAAATATCTACACTGTGCTGCTGAAATTATTCTTCCCCTCAAAGAAATAAATATACCTTGTCTACAAAACAATTAAAATATCTACAGAAATTTTTTATTATGCTATTCCTTACAATTGTTTGTTTCTTTGTACAATCCCATGTACATCAAAAATAAATAAACTGCAGAGGAAATTAGATGGAAAGAACCACAAAAATAAGAAAATACATACAATTATATCACTTCACCTTAGCAGAAGACATGTTTAAACTAACATGTTATTCACAAAAGCAGAGTAAATATTATAACTAATATTTGAAAACTCTCACAGTGTGACTATGTTGTATGCCAAGAATACTAATCTCTACAAAAATAA